TAGTAGCTTATTGTTACTAGTAGCAATGGCCTCCAACCTACTACTACGACGACGACTACTACTACTACCACTACTACTAGCTTCTTGTTACTAGTAGTAAGGCTCCCTAGTAGCGTCCTTGCTCCTAGTAGCGATGCCCTTTGCTCCTAGTAGCTTCTTGTTACTAGTAGCAATGGCCTCCAACCTACTAGCTTCTTGTTACGAGTAGTAAGGCCAAAGGCCGCTAGTAGCGTCCTTGCCCCTAGTAGCGATGTCCTTTGCTCCTAGTAGCTTCTTGTTACTAGTAGCTTTTAAATTGTATTGATGTGGACGAGGGGAGGGAGCCCAGGATCGATGTTGTTTTGGTTTTCTAAGCGATCCTCCTCCAAGCCTCCAAATAGGTCTTTTGAGGTCAGGACAAGTCTTCGTAGTTGGGCTTTACAAATGCTTCATCAAGTCAAGTACCCCGTGTTTGCTTCCAAGGCCGTGAAAGGCAGAACGGCAGCGGCCGAAAGAAAAAATCACAAAGTGGCAAAGATCAACATGCTTTCTTCGCAAGACCAAAGCAAGAACACATTTTAAAACACTCTTGCGAAATGAAACACGCGGTTGCACCGTCCAAGATCCAAGAATTATTTTCTACTTAAACAATCTTTTCATCCTATTTTCTAACCCTTTGTGTTTTTTGATCTTTAGACCTGGTCTTTGCCTTGCTGATTTTTTTAAATAAATGTGTTCTGAATCTTTTTCTGGCCGCCTTGGTGGCATTCTCCAACTCGGCTTGAGCCGAGGCAGCGCTCTCGGCAAGCCTGGTGTTTTGGAAACTATAGTGTCTCAGACTATGCTCCAAAAGGCCTCATTTGGTGCATTTTTGCTGTAAGGTCAAAAAAAGGGTCAAAAAGAAAGAAATGTCTAATTTGGTGTTTTGGAGCCTATCGTGTCTCTTGTTGTAAAGTGAGACACGATCCATGGTGAATGACAAAGGAATTGTCGTCCCCCTCTCAAAGATCGACGCTCTCAGAGTCTTGTTTGGATCTTGACAACACAATTCCCACTGTCTCTCAAAAGACTCAGCTCACCCAAAACAGCAATCGCAAATACCATTGCTAGCGGAACAATGAACCTTGCAATGGCATTTGAACTCTTAGCTTGCTCTTCAGAGGAGGACATTAAGGCCAACAATTTCTTTGTTCTTTGGTTCCTTTATTGGGTGTCTCTGTCTAGCTCTCTCTATTTTTCCTGATCCAATCCACACGTGTTTTGTCTTCCATTTGGCTTCTATGTTCGGCTCCGCTGGCTCCACTCGGCCTCATCTCATGCTGGTCATGGGCCTCGCACTCGATGGCTGTGTCCAAGACCATGATCAAGGCAGTGCTCATCTCCTGAAGAAAGAACGATCAAATCAATAAAATAGTACATACATAGTTGCATATGCATTTCTTTAGATATACACACATTTCCGAGGTTATTTCCAAGGGTATCCGTCTTGAGTCTGGGTGGTCTGGAGGTTGAAGTCGTGTTCGCGAGGCGTTGCGCAGTGGCATCGCTTGTTGCGTTTGGGAGGCCCCTGGAATGGTATGCAAATGTGTCTGATGTCGTGTGTGTTAGCCAAATAGCATGGAAATGTGACATGTTGGACCATTGCTATTGGGTTGGAGGCCATCGCTCGTAGGTTGGAGGCCATTGCTATTATTGAATCCAACTGTGGAAGCCACGGACCAAATGCCCAAGTCTGTACACCCACCAGTTTGCTGCGGTTGTAACTTTCTGGCTTGATTCAGCTGCATCTGCACCATCAGGCTTGCATGACGGCTTCATCAAGGCTTTCTTCTTTTCTGTTTATCTCCTTTACTAGCTTCTTGTTACTAGTAGTAAGGCCAGGAGCCCCTAGTAGTGTCCTTGCTCCTAGTAGCGATGCCCTTTGCTCCCAGTAGCTTCTTGTTACTTCATTCTTTCTTCTTTTTCCAATTTTGTTTCTTTCTTTTTTCTTCATAAAGGCCTCCTTGAGCTTAAGAAACTTCTCCATGGCCGCTTTGTGCTTCATGAAGGCTTCACCTGCGGCAGCAATAATCCCCCAAGTGCCGGGGAGCGCTATGCAGATTGAGTCGAGTCAGGAGAATAGAGAATAGCAAAGTTTCAAATCGAACAGAAAGAAAGGTCTAAAGAAAACACAAAGATTTGGAAAGAAACAACTTATCATTTTGCTGCAACAGTAGGGCCATTTGACTTTAGTAGGTAGCATAGAAAGCTGAAATGCAGAATGCCTGTCTCCTGCCAAGCATTAGATTGCCGCATGATGTAAAGTATGGAATCACTTGTAGACCAGCACATCAGGCCATCAAGCAAGCCAAAATTTCCCTAAACATCTAGAAACCAAATGATTAGTGCGGGCGGCGGGGAGAGCTTCCTTGAAGAAGCACGAGCTATCCTGCGTCGAGTAGCTAGCAGCTTAAGTAGCTACTAGCTACCTCTCTTCTACTAGCTACCCTACCTATCGGCCTACCCCCAGGGCAAAAATAAAGCCTCGCTTGGCATCGCATTTCTTCCCTTTCTCTATCTCCATCTGCAATTGCTTTCGCACTCCTGGGCCGAAGCATTCGTCGAGCCACCGAGCGGAAGTCGAGCTACTGCCGTTTTCTTTCTCTTCTTTTTAGTTTCCTTTTTTTAAAGCCCGCTCCACCCCTTCCCTGAATTGAAGACGTGCTCGCACTAATGATTTGGTTCCTAGATTTTTTGGGAAATGAACCTCGGATGCTCTAGAGTTCAAGCGCAGCCGGCCTACGGCCTTCCACTCTGAGGTCCCTGACGCATCACCTCCGAGTTGGCACTGTACCGGGCCTCTTGGGCAGTTGCTGCGTTCCTTGCGCGTGAAGTTGTACGGCCAGCTTCACAGACACTGAGTTCAAATATGGGTGAATATGGTTGCGCAATGAACCACCCTACAATGTTCTCAGTTTGGAGGCCATCGCTCTTAGGTTGGAGGACATCGCTTGAGCCAAGAGTCTGATCCAAGTCGGCCAAGGACTGGCTTTTCTCGTCGATATTTCGATGCTCCATAGGCAAATCCATCTGGAGTTTCTCCGCCACTTTGATACCAACTGGACGAGTGCCAGTCAGTGTCAGTTACATATGTGTGCTTGCGGCAAAGCAATTAAAGATTGGACAAACTTTTCGGCGCATTTCTTGCCGAAACAGGCTTTGCAACCCCTGCGCCTTGGCTCTTCATGCAACCCATGAAATCCAACGCTTATTTATTGTTTCTAATAGCTTCTTGTTACTAGTAGTACGGCCAAGAGCCCCTAGTAGCGCCCTTGCTCCTAGTAGCGATACCCTTTGCTCCTCGTAGCGTCCTTGTTCCTACCCCCCCCGCGCGCGCGCGCGGCGAAAAGGTCCTAGTAGCCTCCTTTTCTACTAACTTTAATTTTATTCTAATTACACTTAAATTACTACTATTAATGCTACTAATTAAGTTCTAATTTATATTCTTTCTACTAGCTTCTTGTTCCTAGTAGTAAGGCCCTTGCTCCTAGTAGCGATGCCCTTTGCTCCTAGTAGCGTCCTTTCATCGCAAAAATCCGCCTGCATAGCGCTGTTGGATCCTGTCGGCCCTGACCTTCGAGTAATGCACATCCTTCTGCTCCTCAATCTTCCACGGTCAAGCACTGAGGCACAATGTGACAGTGACGCAATGAAAAGAATGTTTCATCTCTTACCATTTTTCTATTTAAATATATTACTTTTCTAAAATCTTGTTCTTTAGTTTCCTTTTCTTCCCGCTCTTACTTAACTAAGTAGGCGACTGCTTAATTGAGTAAGGGCTTGAGGGCTAATTGCCTGCTACTAGCTAGGACGCAGGAGAGCTCACGCCTTCTTTTTTTGCCCGTTCTTACTTCACTAGGTAGTGTGAGCTATTGCAAGCAACTAGCCCTCGAGCCCTTACTCAATCAAGTAGGTGCCTGCATACTCAAGTAAGAGCGTGCTAAAAGAAAGCTGAAGCGTGAGCTATCCTGTGCCCGAGCTAGTGGGGGGCTACTAGCCCTGAGGCAAGGTAGTCAGAATCCCTAGCTTGGCAAGATTGTCGTGCCACTGCTTCCTTAAGTTTAAGACCCGAAGGCACATGCATTTCTGCAGGACTTGTCTTAACTTTCATGCTGACATCGATGCAAGGATGGTCCAAAAACAGAACAAATGGCCAAATACGATGGAAGAGTTCAACCATCTTCGGTGAATTCAACACAGCCTTGGTAGTGCATGCATTCTCTTCGCTCGGAAGTACCAAATCTGCTCCCTTTTCCCTTGCGCTTTTGGAATCTTGGAATAAGATGATCTAGTACAAAGTTCCTTCGAAAGTACAAACTGTTTCTTGGAGCAAGGCTTCTTCGGCGTCCAAGTAACCAGTTAGCTTCCTTTGGCTAGGGCCTAGGGTGTACCAGGCCGTATCTTCTACCTGGTCCCACCCTCGTTGCGGCAAAAGCTGATTCATCGCGGGCGGTTTCTCCTCAGTCATCAGATCGAGCTTCTCCTCGGTGAGGTCCGCGTAGTCCAGCAAGACCCGTGACCTGACGGTCCAAAAACGAGACAACAACGCACCAAATCGAAGCGCCCAAGACCTCCGGAAATGGGTAGAGGATAAAGTCGTAGTGACTAAAGTCGTAGTTTCTTGGAAACCTCATTAGACCAAGCATTGCATCAGCACATCCATGTGCTCGAAGGACTCCCCCAACTCATCGGGTGAAGTACATCCTTGAAATTTGCCTGAATTAAATTAACTTAATAGCTTTTTGTTACTACTAGTAAGGCACTTGTTCCTAGTAGCGATGCACTTGTTCCTAGTAGCTTCTTGTTACTACTAGTAAGGCACTTGTTACTACTAGCGATGCACCTGTTACTACTAGCTTTTTTCCATGGACGTGTTTTGATCTTTGTCTCGCAGGTCAAATTGGACAGGAAAGCTTGGGCGGATCTTTGATCAAAGGTGACCTGTGGCGTGGCATGATCCTTTCACAATCTATTTAACTTAATCCAATTGATAACATTTTATTTACAATTGTTCCTAGTAGCAAGGCACCTTGCTACTAGTAGCTTCTTGTTCCCAGCTTAGGTTTTTTCATACCTATTCCTTCATTTGAATTCCCCCAATTGCGACCACCAGGAATTGCGCCACAGCCCCACTTTGCCTCTCAGCACCATCTTGGATGAACTGCAATACGTGCTTCTCTTCGAGAATTTCGTCCAGCTGCTGATTCCGGTGGTCCTCCACAGTTTAGGAAAATCGTGTTTGAATCGCAACAAAGCCTTGAGGCTCTGTGGCTGTTGATTGCAGTGCTCCTCAAACTGTTTCTGTCTCTCAAAGCTGTCGATAGACTTGCCCTTCATGACCTCCGCATCCAACTCATAAAGCACTCTCTCGACCTGAGAGGAAAAGACATCGTGAACTGATTTTCACCGTCCCATCCAACACACGATGAATTTCATTGGAATTTGAGGGCACGCCCGAGAATGGTGCCACATCCTGAACGACTTCAGCGGCTCTAAGGAAACGACACCAACCAATATATTCCGCCAAGCAGCTTGTTCACGGCCTTTGGCTTCACAGTCGTCTATGGTGGTCCTATACAGAATGCAAGTCTTGAACGAACGGTTTAGACCTTTTGTTAGAGTGGCCATCGCTAGTAGGTTGGAGGCCATCGCTACTAGGTTGGAGGCCATCGCTATTGGGTTGGAGGCCGTCGCTAGTAGGTTGGAGGCCATCGCTAGTAGGTTGGAGGCCGTCGCTATTAGGTTGGAGGCCGTCGCTCTTAGGTTAGAGGCCATCGCTAAGAGTCAACTTCAGGCCCCAGTTCGAAAGAGCCGACTCTGGAAACATACCTTACTCCTACCCCCCCCGCCTGCGCGTGCGCGCGAAAAGGTCCTAGTAGCTTTTAGTTTCAATTCTAATTAAATTCTATCTATTTCTTGTTTCTAATAGCGAACATTGTTCCTAGTAGTACGGCCAGGAGCCCCTAGTAGCGTCCTTGCTCCTAGTAGCGATGCCAGGAGCCCCTAGTAGCTTCTAGGTCAGGCACCAGTTCGAAAGAGTAGACTCTGTTCGACTTCTCCTCAGCGCGAAGATGTTGTGCGTCACCTGAATTGGCTTCTCCGCCGTCAAGTCCCCAAGGCTGCAAGGATCACCCTCCGGCGACGTGTGAAGGCCTCTCCATGTGAATCCACAGGTCAGTCGGGAAAAATGCCATCTACATGCATCTAGTCTCTAGTAGCTTCTTGTTACTAGTAGCGATGCCAGGAGCCCTAGTGGCGTCCTTGCTCCTAGTAGTAAGGTCAGGAGCCCCTAGTAGCATTCTTGTTCCTACATGCATCTACATGTTTAGTGTTTTAGAAATTCTAGAAATCTCAAAGAGCAATTCTCGTTCTTCAACACTATCAGCTTCCAGTTTGGGCGGATCTAAATCCTAATATTCTCGGAGGAAATTACAAATACACTTCATGTAAAGCCATGAAGAAGTTCTTCCCGTCGACGTTGTCCGGTGGTTTTTAAGTGCGCGGTTCAAAATGTCAAGAACCTCCCTTCGCCAACAAGGAGTTCCTTCATCAGCGCTTCATCTTCTCTGTGTTATTTCCCGCTTCAGTTCGCCTGTCAAGATATCCATGTCCTCCTTCCTATCCTGAATGTTCTGGTAGCTCTTCTGAGCCTGGCAGTGAATAGAACCAACCCAAAAACCAATAGAACACCCCAAATCATGCAAAGTCTTTTTTAAAGAAGTGGCTTTCCTCCCCACAGGAAGAAACAACTTTTCATCATTTTTACTGCCTCAGAAAACTCATCCAGCAGATCCTGGATCACATCTCCCACAGCAGCCCTTGCCATGACAGGCGGCGGACGGTCTTGCCCTCACAGCCGTGCTGCCCGACACAAAGCGGCACTTTTTGAGCCAAGTAGCCCTACTGGTAGCATGGCTCTATGATATGAACTTCACTTCAGAAACCACGTTTCGCAGACAATTCCGCCACCATACTCCCTCAAACTTGGTGAATTTCGCATTGGTAGATTGAGGGAAAGGCGAGACAAAATGACCTCGCTCTCTCGCTCTCTCTCTCTCTCTCTCTTGGTTGCAAACTAAGTGATGCGTGTCCAGCCTGGACAGGTTCAGAAACTTAAGAAACATGGGACACACTTTCGGAAACAAAGGCGCTTTCTGGGGCGTGCCAGTTTCAGAAACATAGTTTCAATCATGGTTTCAAACACACAGTGTTCGAACCATGGTTTCAGACACCGTTTTCGACGAAAAAGAGATAGATGGATGGATGGATGGATGGATGGATGGGATAGGATAGGATAGGATAGGATAGATAGGATAGGATAGATAGGATAGGATAGATAG